GCTCCCGGGGACCCCCAGCCCCCCAAACCTCTTCCTGCACCCCACTTCTCCCACTCACCTGCGCCCCAGCCTGGCTGCATCTCTTGTGCTGGTACCACCCACATTCCATCCGGAACTGAACACGTTGCGGGCACGAAGCGCCTCGACTCCTAACGTGTGAGAGCTGTCACCGTCACTGCGCTTCCCTGGCTCTTTCCTCCCTGAATTTCAATCAGTCCGGGCACTAAAAATAGCCACGCTCAGGTGCTGAGCAGGGCTGTGCCCAGCTGCTGCGGTTTTCCCTTTATTTGCTCCAGAAATTCTACCTCGGAGGCTGCGAGTGGCTCTCATGGCACAGCCCGGAGCGTGAAGGACGTGCCGTGTCGCTCGGTGTGAGCATGGCACCGCGGCGCGCTCCGGCTTTGCCGCCCAGGGTGCGGGGGAGTGGCTCATGCAGTGTCAGGGTGCTGGGCTCAGGGGGTGATGGCCACCATGGGGATGTGGCCCAGGCAAAGGAGGGGACACCCACCAGGCCACCCTGCTGCCTGTGGCATTGCCATCACCAGCCATGCTGGGACTGCGGTGGCCCTGGCACGGGGCACAGAGGTCCCACTCGCGTGGGCACCGTGGCACCCGTGGGTGTCATGCAGCATCCAAGGCTGGGTCCAGGCCCTTTTGCTGCCGCCTTGGCATCTTGTGGTAGCAGGGACCCTGCTCCATAGCCCCTGCAAGCCGCGAGGCAGCGGTGATGGGCCCTGGGCGATGGGCCCCAGCATGCCCCACGGCTCCGGGAGCCCCGAGGCAAGGCCGGCCCCAGTCTGTGGCTAGTACCAGGGCAAGCAGCAGTGCAGGGAGCAGCGTCGGCTGGGCACCGTGGCCCCAAAAGCCGCCAGGGTGCCCCATGGGGCGCCCATCCCACATCCGGGAGTGGCGTGCCAGGAGCTCTGCCTGCCGGGCACACCTTTCCTTTCCCTGCCTGCCCCAGCCCCTCTCTGCCTGCCTTCTTCCTGGTCTGCCAGCCTGCAGTGCCACCATCCTCCCGGTGACACGTCTCAGCTCCCCCAGCTCTGGTGGCACCGGGTGACGGTCACCCCCCTGCGCTGTGTCACCCCAGGCAAGGGACTCCCCAAGCAGTAAAGCAGCATGGGGTTCCTGCTAGCGTGGCTGGGAGCCAAGTCA